GGAGGGTGTGAAGGGAGGGCTAGGAATGGGGAAAAAATAAGAACCAAGATGCATCATGTAAAAGTACAATTCCCAATGAGAAATGTAATTGTGTTGTACACCTACAATGTACCAATAACAGAATTTAATACATTTAAAAATAAATAAATAAATAAATAAAAGAAAAGAAAAGAAAAGAAAAGAAGAGAAGGAAAAGGATGCTGAGTATACAGGCTTATGGAAGCCAGATGATTGACAGTGTAGAGGACTGGAAAAGTAAGGAGTAGCAGAATTTTAAGCAGGGAATTTTAAGCAGCTTTGGCTTTACTTGGACAAAAGGTCTTAGGAAGAGGTTATGGATGGATAGAGCACTGCAATGCCTAAACATGATTTTGCATTGTGGTGTAACTGGGATGACGAAGGTGATGGAATCCAGTGCAATTCCCACCATCACCTGGGAATATTATGTTGTTCTGGATCAGCATAAAGGGCTGCAGTATGTTCTGTGACTATTATATTCCATGAACATTGGGATAAATAGATTAAACATGTCCAAATACCATTAACCCAATTACAGATGTGCTAAGCAGGCTTTGTGCTTGGCCCATCCCCAACTGAAAGTTTCACTTGAAGACTTAAAAGGAAGAAGGGTACAAGATTCTAATCTGTGGTCCACGCCCTACACCCTCAGCTAACCAAGGAAACCCTTGCTATGCCAAATTATCCTTTGTTCTGTTTTTGTTGTTGTTGATTTTGTTTTGGTATAAGCCCCAGTTTCTTACACAATAGAACATGAAGTTGGGTAAGAAGCTGTTTCTTTCTGAAGTTGGATTTTGTGGGAATTAATTTTAGCATCAAGGAAATGGACAAGAGAAAGCTAAAGAAAAGGCAAGTCCTGAGACTTTACTGAGCACTTACTGGGTACCAGGTTGTATGTCAGAGTCTTTGTTACTTATTTATAATGTCTTCCTAGTATCATAGTAAAGTACATGAATCTGGGGGTTCTTGTGTTTCTGCTGAGTATATTGCATTCTAATTCTGTAAAATTTCCATGTTTGAGAAACCTTGGATTTGAAATCAAGTTTGTCTAACTCTAAAGCTAGTTAATAATTATCCTTCCATATTACTCTATCTCTTAACATTTCCTTCTGTATGTATTTTGTTCATTGTGACCTGTATTTCATCTCTACCTCTACCTCTGTAGTGATGGAAAGATCATCATAACCTTCTCCACCTTACTCCCACCCCAACCAGCAACCTTTATATAGAGATTCCCTGAGCAAACCTTATATTCTGCAAACTCTTTTGTCTTCAGCCCCAGTGAAAGAGTCCATTCTTTCAACTGCACGCCTGCTATAGCAATATCTGATGATGGGATTGAACTTTGGTGTATGTTATGGTTTGTGTTTGGATGTCACCCCACCCCCACCCACCCCCACCCCACCACAAAGCTTCATGTGGATGAAGTGGGACTTTCTTTTTCAGAGGTAGTTGAATCTGGAATGTGTGATGCTGGGGTTAAGGGCGTGTGATTACTAAACCACTACATGTGAATGATTTGTTTGGCACTGCCCTAATCCCAGTGGTCTGGATGGAATAAAAGAGGCAGAAAGACTTGGAGAAGGCCTCTTGTTACCTTTGATACCTTGTGCATGCCATGTTGTTTCTACTCTGTGATGCCTGTTTGCCATCCCTGCCTTGGAGGCAGCTTATTATGGACTGAAACCGCTATGAACTGTAAGCCAAAAAAATCCCTTCCCCTTTAACTTTGGATGCTGGGTATTTTGTCTCAGCAATGAGAGGAAAATAACTAACACAGTGTATTTGCCATGGAAACTTATAAATGGTGTGCTCTGGTTCATCTCTCAGAAATCATCTAGAGGTATGGTGCTCAACCATACAATGTATCAAAGGCACCCTGAGAAACTTGTAAACATACAGATTCCCAGGTGTCTCCCTTGACTGACCTAATTGAAATCTCAGTGAATGGGGCCCAGGATTCTGTATTTTCTCCAAAGCTCTCAGATCATTTGGATGTTTCAACACAATTCTCCAAATTATATTACTTAGAAGATCAAGATCCAATAAGGACATGAAATTTACCCAAGTTACACAGCATATTGGCTATATATTTTTATTTTTTCTGATAAAGCAAAGCTCACATTGGTGATCCCTGCAGACAGCCCCCGTAAGTATTAGCTTCTTGTTCTGCCCCAGGAAGACTGTTTGTTAACTGTGGAGTTGAATAGCTTACAAGTGAGTGAAGAAACTACGTCATCTCTGATCATAAAACCTAGTGAACCGCAAGCAAGCTGGTATTTGTGTTACAAAACCACCTGGGGAGGCTGGCCTCACTTGGCACTTGCCTTGACTCCTGAGAAGAGGTAAGGCTTTCTCTCTGCCCTTCCCTACCTGCCCAGAGTTCAGGAACAAAGACTGACCCAGGGTTACTGTGGGGTCAGGAATGCACTGAAGATAAAATCAGGGGATAGTCCACTCACCCTTGGTTCTGTCACTTGCATGACCTTGGAAAGGGATGTTTTCCTATCTGGCTCTCAGTCCCTGCATTTATAAAATGGGAGCATTGGCCTCTGAAAGGGTTATGGGACTAGAGCTGTGGAGTTACCAAGTCTTAAGTTAGAACTACATCCTATCTCCTTACTCACAGCCTGACTCCAGACAAATCACTTCACTGAGCTTGAAAACCTGTTCCGTAAAATAGGGGTGTTGACAGCTACCATATGGAGTATATATGAAAACTAAACAATATGTTGCAACTAACATGTTTGGCACAGACTCTGGTCATGGAAAGTGCTCAACAAGTAGCAATCATTGTTCTTCTTGTTGAAGTTTCTTATTCTAATCTGAATCTGAGGCCAATCTTTCTGACCAAGGAGGGGTGGGACTGCCAGGCCTTACATTTGAATAGACTTTTCTAGTTCCTGTACACTGCCCGGTTCTTCAAATGGCCCCTTAGCAACTTTACAAATGGAGACTCCAAGGAAATTGGTCTGGGATTCAGAAGAAAGCTCATAGGATTACTCTGGCTTGGAGATATTGTATGAACACAAATCCTTATCTTAACCTCCGAATCCTCGTCCACAAAGTGCAGATCATGAGTCTTTACCTAGAAGATGCAAATAAGAAAGGTTTAGAGAGTGTATGTTGCTATATGAGCACACATTTTTCTGAGCACCTACCAGACAGTGCTAGCTGTAAGTTAAGTCCAAGACTCCAAGGTAGAGAGACTCCTAACCAGACTATGCCTTTGTGTTGCTTATGTCCTGTGGAGGAGAATGACATTGATTAAGCATTGGAGATATAAAACATGGTCCTATCCAGAAGTTCACATCGTAAGGAAAAATGAACATCTAAATGGAACTTAGAATCCAAAGGGCTAAGTAGAAACATCACAGAAATAGGGAGATTGGGAGAACCAAAAGCAGGAACCCTTATTCTGAATTGAGGTAGAATGCTCAGAGCTGCTTTCCTGGAATAAGTAACTCTTTTTCTCCAGGAATTTGCTTTGTAAACATTAATGCCCTGTACAAATATATAGGATTGTTTACTCCTTTCTTTTCCAATTGCATGCTATATGAGTTTGAAGATCCTAGAAGTTGAAAATCCTACCTGAGGGTTTCCACGAGCATGTTTATGAAGAGACACTGAGGGTACAAAACTGACTCTGGGGAGAAGTTAGGCTGCTAGTGTCAGAGCAGCAATCAGAATCTGAATTTTTAACTGCGTGTTTTGTTACCTGAGCTGACAATCTCCGAGGCCTCCTTGTCACTCTTACACACACACACACACACATACACAGGCACGCACACACACAGGCATACACACACACAGAGGCACACATGCCTGCTTGTCCTGCAGGGCACACCTGTGGCCCCTCACACTCCCCTGCTGCCAACTCTTATAAAACAGGCAAACGGAACAGCTTGGCTTTGGCTATAACATGTACAAACACATGGAGCAAAGTTTCCAAAGGGAGACAGACAGTGAATGCCTTTCAGGGTCTGGCAGTTTTATGGGCAGAGGCCAATTAAAAAGCACACCCCACACAAAGCCTGTGGGTTTTGTTTGGCTGTGACCTTCTCTCCAGTCCCCTTGTAGGCTGCACTGATAGTGCAAATTGGAAGGACCACTGTCCTCAAAGGGTCCTGGGCATTCATGGTGCTTCCGGGGAATCTTCTCACTGGGACCCCTCATTCTAGGCAACAGGCTTAATTTTACTGGATGCTAGCTATAAGGAAGCACAGTTAAAGACTGAAAGGTGTAGAGAAAATACTACTCAGAACATGCCTTTCTGACTATTTATGTCCTGTGGAGAATGACACTGAGTTTAAAAAGTGGTGAAGCAAAGGCAGGGAATTCTGACTGTGAGAATCTAGAGGAAAGAATTACCAACTCCTTCTGAGAGAGGCAAAAACGTCTTTGAGTGCCAGTGAATCTCATTCAAGCTGGATCTGCATGCATTACAAGAATATCCCCAGCACAAGAGCAGCATATTCAGAGGCTGAGCGAGGATGGGCATTTTTGAGACTTATGACAATGACTATCAACACTTACTGTTTGTTACATGGTTTGTACTGTTCTAAGCATCTAACATATATTGATCTATTTAACCCTCTCAAAATTTATGAGACACTAATATTTCTACCAATTGGTAGAGAAGAAAATTAAGGCCTAGAGTGGTTGTCATTTTCCCAGGGCTATTGGACTGTTAGCAACCAGTGGTTCTGAGACCCTGACAGAGACTGGGATTGTCTCTACGGCAGCAGAGTTGGCTGTGGGTGTAGTATAACAGAAGAAGCTGAGAGTTAGGGAACCCCAGTTCTTCTGCGTACTCATTGAGATCTCAATCTTTGCTACACTGGCCAGAGAAAATGATTTTGCTGTTGTCAACCTCAAAGGGATTAGAGAATATAAAAGCGAGAGGTAAAAAATGTCCTTTGTACACAAGTTAGCATATGATGTAATTCCTCTTATTCATGACATATACACCCTCCTCAGTGTGGTGGGGGAATATAGAGAACCCAGAGCCCATAGAGGAGGATGGCTTGCTCCAAGTCACATCCACTGTACTACTGAGGCAAGATTAGCACTCAGAGTGCTCAGAGCATACAGAGTATAGTAGTAAAAATCCTAAGGCCAGATGAGATCTAGAGTGGCATTTTGTTCTAACATATACTGGCTTCCTGATACTAAGAAATGACTTAAATTCTCTGAACCTCCTTTTGTCCATGTATAAAACGGGGATGAAAACTTACACATCAGAGTTTTGAGATATATATGAAATAATATATATGTATATGTAAAGAATTTGACAACTGTTAAGGAATCAAATGATACTGACAAAAATGAGGATGGATGATGAGCATGAACTTGGTGGTGGTAATGGTGGTGGTACAAGAAAAGGAAGACAAGGAAGAAGAGGAGGAGGAAGAGGAGGAGGAGGAGGAAGAGGAGGAGGAGGAGGAGGAGGAAGAGGAGGAGGAAGAGGAGGAGGAGGAGGAGGAGGAAGTTTGCATAAGTCCAGGGCCTCACTCTTCCACAAAATTGTGCTTGTGCAAAGCCATGGCTCATTGATGCATAATTATACACATGCCCATGCATGACTTCTACATAAAACTAAATAATATCCTTGCCTCTCTGATGTTTCAGTTACTATACCTGTATGATACAAATCATGCCTCATGCATGCACTGCCACTGATCCCATGTGATTCATCATTCTTTTGATGCCCCTGGTGTTTCTGTCCAGTCTAACACTCAAGAAACAGTGAAAAAGAGAAAATCCAAGTCACCAGGCCTATTAGGTAGCAAGTCTTATTGACTCAACTTCCTTAAGACCTCTCAGATCTGGCTTTATCTTGCAGTGGCCTTAGCTCAGGCTTCCCCTCTCTCTTCTAAGTAATACCTACAATCTCTTATCTAGTTTCAATGCCAAAGCTCTGTCTTATCTCTCTCTTTTCCAACCATGTAGCCAGAATGGTCTTTTAAAAATGCTTACCTGCCCATCTGACACCTCTGTTTTCAATCCAGCATCTTCCAATGGCCAACACGGTTTGGCTTTGACAATCTTTCTAAACACAACCTCTATCTTGCTGCCCACCTCAAACATGGCACAACCACTGCCACAGGGCTGCTTCCTATGCCAATAAGACCCTTTCTCTATTGCTCTACTTACTAAATTCTCATAAATGCTTCCACTGTGAAAGTTTTTCTGATGACAACTTGTCTTCCAATGCTAGAGTCCATTTCACCCACCCTTTCTTGAGTAAAGAAGTCATTATCGTAACTTTGTTTGAAATTTACTGAAAAGTTTTTGTTGGTAAGCACCAAATCTTTTTATATATTTGTACAGCATCTAATTCAATCTTCCCAACAGTTTTTTGAAGGCATATATTTATTGTTCCATAAATGAGGAAAGCTAGGCTTAAGAATGGTTAGGTTGACATCTGCGAACTTGAGCCTTCTAGAAAGACTTGTAGTTTACCTTCCAAATCTCTCTGAGTCCAGCCCCTCCCCATTGTAAACTGCACAACCAATATTAAAATTCAGATTGGCTCCACTCCAAAGTGTCCAATTTTATCACATTTTCTTTAGTTAGCTAAATTCTGGGAGTCCCTAGGGGCAAGGGTTGGGCTCTTTTTATCTTCATACCCCAAACCAGGAAATCAGTACTGTACTCAGGCATTAGTTGAAAGCTAGACTTAGCTTTTACCTTAAGAAGGAAGAGGTGATTGGATCCATTCACCCTATAAGGTAGGAAGCACAATGTTCACCACTTGGAATTTTTTTGTCTGACCAAGTTTACATTTCAATATCTCAACATTTTCACTTAGAAGCTATAGGACTTTGAACGGGATATTTAGTCTGCCTTAGCAAGTTGTTAAAAATTTTAATCCCAATAATACATGGCTGTTTTGTACCTGGTTCAGTGAGAAAAACATGGAGACTCACTGTATGACAGGGACTCCTTATATGGTGGTTATTAGCATTTGTCTGTCCAGTGTACTCTATGATGCAGTCTGCCTAGGGAAGTTATTTCCTGACCACAAAGAAGGAAGGGGTCATTTAAGGATGGTTTCCCATGCACTCCTAACACCTCTCCATGTTCACAACTTCTTTATCTGATGGTGGAGACCACATAAGAAGTAGCATCCTTGCCAGAGTAGCGGGACGAAAATCCCTGGGCTTCTTCTGTGACAGCACACGAATCTACCTGGCTATGCAAAGGCCAGGGCAGCAGACCTGACAGCCTCATTTGCACTTCAAGAATTTTCCTTTTTCTTTTTCCATTGAAACATCTTAATAAATATTAGTCTAACCTCCTTTCCTGCCATGGCAGGATACACACACACACACACACACACACACGCACGCACACACACACCCACGCACGCACGCACGCACACACACACACACACACAGTTGCCTTAACAGGCTTCTGGCTTCCTATTCTTGAGAGCCTTATGATGGCTGATTCTGCAGTGCCAGGAAAAAGAAGCTGAAATCAGAGAGGGAGAGGTGTGAATTGGGGACAGGACGATGGCAGATATTTTGAGGAATTGCCACTTTTTATGAGAACTCAGAGAAAACCACATAGTCCTTGGAGATCTTACAAGTGTGTTAAGTTTCAACATCATGACCATTTTTCTTTAAGTTAAAGTTTTGATATTATTTTTGATACTGTGATATATCTCACAGAGCTGTTAGTCACTATTTTTTTTCTTTTTATTAGAATTATCTAGATTTTTCCCAGTTAAATTTTCATAGTCATCTCCCTAAGATCCACAGGTTATCTGTATATCAAATTAATTAGGGGGGAGGGGAAACTACTTACTATAAATAAAGATATATTGTGTTGGATACATATTATTTCACTCAAGGTACACAACACTCCTATAAGGTGAGACTATCAATGACTCCACTTTATTGATGAGAAAACTGAGGTTAAGATGTCAAGTTACTTACCTAAAAACAATACTAGTAGAGCCAGATTCAAAATTATCAGGCTCAGATCACTGCTACACCATAGTGGGAATTTAATATTCTTCAACTGTTGAGATATATTTTTCCTCAGGTTGAACCAAGAAAATGGAAAACTATAGTAATGTGTTGGCTCAGCAAAAGCCTGAGACCCAAGGTTCAAGAAAAAGTATTCACAAGAGTCATTCAGAACAGGACTTTCCACATGGCAAGTTCTCAATGAATGGTAACTATTACTTTTTACTTTTATTTTTATATTTTGGTAAAACTTGGTTCCTTTCTGAATGTACTTATGCCTGGGAGGAAAAGAGACATTAACACTGTGGAGAGTATTTGTTCATCTAAACTTCACTGGTATACTTATAGAAACATAAATTCAGTAATTATAAACTTCTTGAAAGAGCACCTTTGAGCTTAGGTGGTTGGAGATTGAGCCAAGTTGTTTGGAAGAATCTCTGGTTTCTTTTCAGGCTCCCCATTTCCCTTGTGTGGATCAGAGTCCTGGAAAACAAATCTTAGCATGTAGGTGGTCAGGAAAAGGACTCTAGATATCATCCCAACTCATCAAATTGAGAGGTAGGCATATTTTATCTGTTTATAATTCACTGATATTCAGTATCTTTTTCCTTTTCTGAATTCTCACAGTGCCCTAATCTCTTCAACAGGTGTGATGTTTTCATTATGACTTACTTGACCTATATCTCATTCCCTTTAGTGACATATCTTGTCTGAGCTAATACTGGAAATTGCATAATGCTTCTTTGTCCTCATTACTCTCCCAGGGAACACGATGAGGATGGTACAATTACCATTTAAGAGGAAACTTCAAGTATGCCTCCATAAAGCTACCCAAAAATACATAAATGGAGATTCCAGTGTTGGAGTGTCTACTACTGATCACAGGATCCATGCTGCCATCACTTCTTGCCTGGAAAATGACAATGGCCATCCTCTCTTTGGGGCCTTCTTCAATTCATCTTTAACTCTATAGTTGGAATGATTTATCTTAGTGAGCAAGTTGATTATTTCACTCCTTTGCCAAAGCTGTGCAGTAGCTCCTGGTTACTTAAAAATAACATCTAACTTCTTGTCTGAGACTTTAACTGTTCTTCCCAACTCCAAGATAAATCCTTGGCACTTCCTGCTTTACTCCCAGTATTAAACAGTGTTCTCATCAATGAGACATAATACCCAACAGTCATAGTTAAAGGAGAAGTTTAATTTACTCGTGGTTTTTGTCCATGATAGGCTCACTTCAAGCAGAGACATTATGGTGAATGGGCACAGTGGAACAAAACTGCTTAGTTCATAGTGGTCAGGAAGCAAAGTAGGGAAAGAATGTCAGACAGAAATGGGCTAGGGACCATATATAGTAGCTATGACCTACCCAGACACACCCAAAATTGTATTTAACTAATCTGCTAGGTGTTTCTTAAACCACTGAAGTTTACATATCAGAATTAATGGTCACAATCCATTCCTTGTCAACTTCACACCCAAATAAAGTTTCTTAATCCATACTTAATCTTCAAATAAAGACAAATTCATAATTTCACCTAATATAATACAACTATTCCATGTACAACTGGAAATGGAATAATCCCTTCCCCAAAGTTTCGTAAGTTGTAGTGTTTTTTTTTTCAAAAGTCCAAATAAATCCAAGTCTTTTCTGAGACTTAAGGCACACTCTTAGCTGTGAAACTCTGTAAAGATTTTTTAAAAAAGTAACATAGTCCCAAGGAACAATAGCACATGGTAAAATTCCCATTCCAAAAAAGAGCAATGGGGAAAGAATCATTAAAACAAGATAAAAAACCACCAGGCCAAACATTAATCCTGTAGATCCATGTCCAGCTGCCAGAGCACATTATGATAAAATGTAAGGTTCAAAAGGCATGGGTAGTCCCACTCCTTTAGCCTCACCAGTTGCAGACCACAATGCCTCTTTCTTGGGAGGGCTTCCACTCATGGCTTTCAGCTTTCCTTGGCTGATGGTCCAAATCCAGACAGCTTGAACTTCCTGTTGTCTTCACTGCTTTATTTCTGTAGCCTCATGCACTGTCCTCTTAGGGGCTCCTTACCTGGTCTCCCAGGCCTTTGTCTTGCATTCTGCATGCTAGTATAACCAGCATCATTGGATGATGCCAATCTATGTTGTCAGCTGAGGTAGGTCCTCTTGGACCATGGCTGCAGCTGCCTCTAAATGACTGGACAGTTGAGCATGGTGAAATGAATACCACAAAACCAATTCTCTAGGAGGCCCTTCTTCAGCAAGGATCCCAAAGACTGTGTTCTCAAATGAAAGGTTGACACATTTCTGCACTTGAGCCTGCCATTGGTGGGTCTTGCTGATTCCTGAGATTCCCTCAAGGCACAAGAAGAAAACTTCTTGTCCTTGTACAAAGTACCTGGCTTCTTTTTAACGTTGCTTTTCTCTTTAACAGCCACACCTCCTTTGGCCTCAAGTTTACACATAGTTCTTTCTGTGCCAAAATTCAAGTTTTTCAATATTTTTTGCTCCACCCTTTGCCCCTGATTTTCACTATAAATTTGACTCAAAGCAACCAACAGTACCCATACTACAGCATGAAATTTGAGCTGCCTAGAAATTTCCTCCACCAGATTAACCTACTGCTCTTATGCTCAGTCTCCTGCAAAGTTTCAAGACATGGGCAAAGGGTAGAATTTTTTTGCTAGCATATAACACACTGTTCTTAAATTCATCAATGAGTCCTTGCTCCAAACTGAAACCTCCTGAACTTGGCCTGTACTCTCCCCATTTCTATCAGCATTCTAGTCTTCTGAGCTCCAAACACAATCACCTATAAAACTCTATTTATAGCATTCAAGAGCTTCTCTAGCCTTCTGCTCCAAACTTTCTGATCTCCTCTCATAAAACAGTTTCAAAGGGTTCTAAACCCCATTGTCAGGGATAGTCACAGCAATAAACCCAATTTTCACGTACCAATCTTCTCTATTAGTCAGCTTTTTCATCACGGAGGCTCAATACCCAATACTCACAAACTAAAGGACAGCTTTAATTTGCTCGAAGTTCCCTTCATGATTGGCTGGTTTCAAGGCAGAGGTATCATGGTGAAAGGGCATGGCTGAGCAAAGCTGCTTATTTCATGGTGACCAGGAAGGAGAGCAAAAGAAGAATGCCAGAGAGGAATGGGCCAAGGACCATATATATTTCCCAAGGTCATGCTTCAGTGATTCACCCACACACTTCTGGGAGCATGCTTTACGACTATGCTAGATGTTTCTTTAATCAATAAAATTGACATACCAGAATTAAGTCACAATCCCTATTCTTAATGAAAGTGGCTTCAACCTTTGAATGACATGTTCTCTGTGCTTTTGGTCATGGTTTTTATACTGGCTAGAGAAAATTTCATCCTTCTCACATTTGTCTGGATTATCCTCCCTCAGTCTCTGAGTTTATATATAATTTTTTCAAGGAAACATTTCAGGACACCCTCCAATGTATCTCAGGACTGAACACAAGTTCAAGGAATTTGCTTTCTTACCTCAGCACAGCCTGAAACCATCAGACTGTTTCCCTGTTATAACTCTTGGACCCCGAGTTCCATGAGGGCAGAGTCTTCTCTGTCTTTAGTTGCATACCCAGTACCTGACACACAGTATCTATTCAATCTTGTTCAGTGAATAAACAGAGGTCCCCCAAACACACTGCACTAGTAAGAAACACTACTAAAGCAGAAAGAGAGACAATAGGAATTTTTAATGCACAGAAAGTCCTGCAGGGACTTTGGGTACACCCACAGGTAGCAGGAAGAAGGAGAGGACCTGCAAACTTAATAAAGTCTGAAAGAGAGAGAGAAGACAGGAGAGAGGGAGAGAGAGAGAGACAGAGAGAGAGAGAGAGAGAGAGAGAGAGAGAGAGATTCCTTAAAGACCCAAGCTTCCTCATTGCAACAATCCTTGAGGCTTCCTTTATGAAGCTGAGGAAGTCAAACTGTCTTTCCACAGGTTTCCTCCTGGGTCCATGGGAGGAAGGAAGCTGAGTATGGCAGGAGGGAGGAAAAAGAGGAAAGGCTGCTTGGTCTTCACCTGAAAACTTTTGCCTCCCCATTGACTGTCATCCATAAGAAAGGTTTAAAAAGGAGAGACATCTGATAGAATCAAATAATATTTTAGAAAAAATAAAAGAGGAAATGAATAATTCCATTGGTTAAAAAGTTCTCTGTCCACTATCCACAGGAGAAATGGTTTGCTTTGGCCTTGCTGGTAACTTCATCTGCCAGGCTTATCCTCAGCTGTTCCCCAGCCCACCCAAGGTCCCAGGATCCATGAGAGTACTTCTCCCCCTCGGAGAGTCTCTGTGCTCATAGAGGGCAGCAGTCTCCCTCACCGGCCCTTGGAATCCCCATACGTGTTTCGGGGCATGGACACCATCTTCTCTTCGCATGTGATTTTGGTGTCCTTAAGGATGCTGTACCACACCATGCCTGCAGGCCGGATCTCCTCGCTGCGGCAGAAAAGGTAGGGCACAGTATCCACACGGCTCTGGATGTAGGGGCTTCGCAGGAGGTTGGAACAGTGGCTGCTCACCCTCTCCAGCCTCCGCAGGATCAGGTGGGCCTTCCTGAAAGGTATGAGAGGCAGCAATAATCAAGGAAAAAGTCCGGATCAGTATTTAGGACTTTGGGGTGGGAATGGTCAATAGACATCTGAAGACATCTGTCTCAATGATTTCCTATCCATTTCTAACTTAAGTGTGGTATTTTAAACACCTATTAAAAAATTACCCTGAAGTCTATCCTTTTCAGTTATGCAAGTATAAAAAATGAAAGTGGTAAACCTTTTGATTTCAACTTCTATTATATGAGACTCCTGGGAGTTAGGAGATCACCAGCCTTAGGGTTCTGATCAAACAGAAATTATAGGAATGATTTTTTAAAAAATACACAATAACAACTAAAATTTGACACTTATCATCTGCTAAGCACTGGTTGTATACTTTATATACATCTTAAACATTTTATTTAATCTTCACATCAGTCCCCAATATCTTATTCTTCATTCTCACTTAACAGGTGAGGAACCCAAGCAAGGTTCTGAGAAATTATATTACTTGACTGAAGTTAAATGTCAAGTTGACCACTGGAGTTGGGCACTGAAATCTGGGCCTGAATCCCCAGCAGGTCCTCCTCCAACTGTTTAGTTTCTTACTTTCTCATATGTTTCTCTAAGTCACGAAATCTAGACAACTTGCCCTCTATGCTTCTCTTTCATCAAAGCCTAAAAATAAATGTTCCCAAATTAGAACTTCCCTGTGTCCCATTTTCCCCATCTCTAAAGTAGTGGTGACAGTCTTATCCTCATAGGTTGGTTGTGTGAAATTATGCATGAGAAATGCCCCGTGCTTGACACTACGTAAGATTCCAATAAATGATAACTACAATTATAATGATTATTATAATGATGCTTCAGGATCAAGACTAAAAGGAACACCAATCTTAGCAAGAACCATTCTGTATTTTGATGATCACAATTAGTAAGTTATCTAAAATCTTTTATCTAGCAGTAGAGAGAGGACCTATGAGAGATGTGAAAGCTGCAAAAATCTAGCAAGGATCTTTGAGGTCAACTGGAGCAGGGTTCCTCAACAGTGGTACCAGTGATTCTGGGATTAGGAGGAATTGTGTAGGATGTTTACTGGCACCCTGGGACCTTAACCCAGGTGATGACAAAAGCAGCCCACATACTAGTTAGAATAATATTAGCTACAATTATTAGAAAGGGGGACAGTCACCCCAGTTGAGAAACACTGACCTAATCTGACCTAGCCTCATTAAAAATATGGAAACTTAGGCTTAGAAAGAGAGAAAAAGAAGTGTCTTTCTCCCTAGTCACATGACAAGTCAATTTCATTATCAAGGTGTCTATCTTGCTTATCTCTACTTCTGGCTTCTTCAAGATGCCTAGGGATCCTGTAAAGGTAAATGAGAGGTCTGCTCTTCTGCTGTCCTCTCCATGCCCTTCTCAGACCCCAGCAGAGAAGGAGTTTTATGACAAGAGACCCCACAAATGAGAGACTGTGTTAGGCACCTGCATGATGGCTGAGAAAGTATTGGGCTTATATGTTATATTTTGTGGGCACAATTTATGAGGTGCCTTTCAAAAAGTCCTCTTTATGCAGTTCAGCACTTGGGTGGAATATTTCCTGAGTTGCCAAGAATTCATCACTTCATAATTACACTCTACTCAGTCCTCCCTCCTCTATGGCAAGTGCACTCCCAAGAGGAGTTTGAAGAGTTTATATCTCCTTCCTCTTTGAGTTCTTACTCTGTTCTTTAACAGCTCTGTATCCTTGGGAAATTTACTTAACATCTCTAACCCTGTCTCATTCTTTGAAAATGGGGCTGTGGTTCAGTTGAAGGAGGTAATGCAATGATGCTACTAACTGACCATAGTCTTCCCATTCAGTAGGATTCAGTGGGAAAGACAAATGAAGATTACAATACAGGATACAAGAGGGAAGATTTAAAAAATAGTAACAGAACCTGTATGAAGACAGAGGAAGGTGCCGAATAGGGGTGGGGATATCCAAGAAATCCCCATAACGGAAAGACAACTGGTGTCAAGTTTTGTAAATGAATAGTTAGATAAAGAAGAGGTCAGAGGCATAGAAGACACTGTAGGCAAAGGCACAGGGATAAGAGACTCCATGGAATTTCTGAGAATCTATGACCTACAGAGCATGAGTGATGACCAGTGAGAAACAGAAGAAGGATCCAGCTGGCATGTCACCCAGGTCCCAGGATGGTCTCCAGTGCATGGAACAGTGGTATACATGCAGGCTCTGCAGCATTGGCTGCTCAGACTCAAATCTCAGTTCAGCCACTTACTGCCTGTGTGACAGTGAGCAAACTGCTTTGCCACTTGTGCCTCAGTCTTCTTGCTTTTCCTATAAAATGGGAATACCTAGATATACCACCAAGTATTGTCTCAAAATATCAAGGAGAATAATGAATCTATAATAAGACCTTAATGAATAGATAAATAAAAGGAGAAGTATTGTCTCAAGGGTAAGCAAGTAGGGGAGTTATTGAAAGGGCTTGAGGAAGCAAAGTAAAAGGCTTGGAGCTTTTAAAAGTATTTCTGGCTGCTGTGAGAGTTGAAAAGGGGAAGGGCAAATCTGGCAGCAAGAAAGCAGGTAGAGGGCACATCCAGGTGTTAATTGTACTTACCCTCATTGTACTTAGGAATATAGGGTTGATTTTCCGCTATGCACTGGAGAATCCTCTTTACTCTGTTTTATAATCTATGAAAAGGGAATACCATATTGCTCATCTCATAAAGTTATAATGGGGTTAAGTAAGTTAAGACATGTATAACTCTTCAAAAAGTGTCACCAAGAAAGCATAGAAAAGCTTACACAGTACCAAATAAAAAGGAAGAAACTATTATCACCACAATGAACACCACCACTACCACTACCATCATTATGTTATTAGGTATTCTTTGTATGTCAGGCACTGGGGATACATGAGGATTGGTTTAAACCTGAAATGTCTTCATAAGGCAGTGGCAGGAGAAAGAAAGAGCTATTAATGGTGTCTAATTCAGAGGAAGGGTGCTGCTTTGGAAAAGGCGGAAGGGACTATGGGAGTATAGATGGACAGCTAGTCAATAATTTAGGACTCAGAGAAGTCTTCCCAAAGGATCTCACAGCTGAGCCAGGTCTTCAATAATGAAACAAATGTTAGGCAGAGGAAATAAGCCATTTTAAATGAGACCAGAGAGAGTGTAAAATGGCTGGTTACAAATAATGAGTGGGAAGCTAGGAAGCTTATCAAATATTGGACCATCCTGGTTCTTCGATGCCAAGCCGAAGAATTTGTATTTTATTCTTTGGGCAATAGAGAGCCAAACAGAGGCTGATTCAGGCAGTCACAAAATAGTAAATGCAAAAGAAGGTCAGAAAGCGCAATTATTCCAACATGTCCAAATGCTTTGCTTCCAAAGGCACAGCCATTTCCTCAGAGAGAATCTTGGAATTCAAGTGGACGAAGCCTCCTTTTGTACAGATGGAATAACTGAGGGCTGAAGTGACAAAATGAATGTCTTAAATTAATAAGGCACAAATCTAGAACAAGATTCTTGATCACATAGAGCAGAGGTGGTGAACCTGTGGCACCCATGCTGCAGCGGGCTGTTTGCATCACTGAAAGCTCTAAGAGGTTTACCATCATGGCGCAGAGTCAAGATGAAGTCTTCATCTCTGACATCCCTAATTCAAGTCCTGACTAACTTAACAACTATATAGATAATGAGCAAGTTTGCAATGCCACTAACTCTTAGTTACCACATCAGTAAAGCAGAAATAACAGTGTTGCTGGCAAGGCAAGATACTGTGGGTAAGATCTTGGCTCTAAGTAAATGTCAGCTATGATTCAAAGTAGCATTTATATTAGGAAAGACATAGACTTTATGGCCTATAAGGCCGAGTCTCTTGACCTCTCTGAGCCTCAATCTCCTCACTTGTGAAATGAGAATGGAGACACCAATTGTGTAGAGCTGTTATTGAGCTCAAATGAAATGACTAACATAGGCATAAAGCATAAAGCTTAGGATACAGTAGGCACTAAACCAATGTTTACAAAGACAACAAAGGCAGGAGAATTCAGAAGGTAAAGCCACACAGAGAAGGATTGGCGGAGGGATGGCTGGAAAGGAGAAAGCGGTGTGAGACAGACCAAAGGTGAGAGTGCTGGGTAATAAATTGGAGGCAATGGAGACCCATAAATCAAAGGCCAGGCATGCTTTCCCTGGAAAGGAAATCATAGGTCAGGGTAATCACTTTTCTCAAATACCAGAGATGAAATCTTCCTCACTGGGAAGCAAGAGGTAGAAAAGGGACACCACACATGAATTTATTATATATTAACAGGTATGAATGAGAGAGATGGCTCGTGAAGGAGTAAAGGGCTGGCCCTGAATGCCACTTCTCCCGGAATAGTAGAACCTTTGACCAACCATTCTATTTCCAGAATACTTACTCAATCAGCTATTGACACAGTTACCAGAAGACACCTAATTTCTAAGGGAAACTTGCAGTGGAGAAAAGGAAAAGAGTTGAGCTTTAATGTTTCAGTGTTGGCTAACCCTGCACTTAATGAGAGGCAAGGGCATGACATGGTTGCAAAAAACTGGAACACAACTTCCTGAAGAGGAGAGAGCAGATTAAAGGAAGTAATGACCTCATTCATGCAGCCCTAGTAAGGCCACTTCTATAGAATCCTGGTCACTTCTGGTAAGAAGGATGTTTATAAACAGTAGGCAGATCATCATGCTGGAGGATGCCTTAAAAACAATCTTGCTGTCAAGGTCCTGAGTTCAATCCCTGGTACCCCCCCAAAAAACCAAAACCAAACCAAAACAAAATGAAACAAAAAAACAATCCTTCTGAGTTGGAAACACAAATAGAGAGGAAGATGAGATCTAGGCAAATGATTATGTTCTAGCAACTGAAGACTGTGAGCCAAAAAACTGAGGGTCAGGGATGATAATGACTGTAGGTAACTCCCACTATGCCAGAAGTAGTTCCTATGTATCCATGGGAAAACACTTGTTCAGGAA